AAAGTCATCAACTGGAAATTATTCCATTTCAAATTCAGGTTCTCAAAAACCGATGAATAAACAGGATCAAGAGAAGGCCTATACCAGTAAATGTTTTGAGTGCAAGAAAATGGGACATACACTGTAGGTCATGGAATTGATAAGGCTGCTGATCTGTAGTGCTTTTTGTTGCTTGCATTTATATGTAACAAAGTATTCGATGCCTTTTTTATATGTGTACATGTATTTGTATTTACCATTTGCGGTAACGTTTTTGGCTCATACTAAAAAGCTTTGCTTCCTAATGAGCTCCCCTGCAGTATCTTTAAATGACACTGATAACCATTTACGGGTAATCTGAATAAAGACGCTGTAAAAAAAAAACAAACTTGTATTGTCCATAGAAGAGAGCCAATGACACTAGCATGAAAGAGCAGTCAAATACAGAACCCAAGAAAGTAATGGTCTGTGTAGATACTGCACTGTTGAGCAAATATGAATGCAGAGGCATGATTAACAGTGAGCCAGCCACTGAGATACACAGATTGTACACAGATGATGGTTAACAAAAAATTTGCCCCTGAGGGAAGCACGATGAAGGATATAAAACAGTTAAGTTGATGGATGTGACCAGAGTACCAAGAAGTATCCTATTTGCTTGTACATGTATATAGAAGGTAAATATGAAACTGGGTGGATTAAGGTGGCAGTGGCCCAAAGATTACCAGTAGATGCTGTCTTAGGTAATGAGGTATGTGACGTACCCGATGATCTCGCCTAAGCGACAACTCTGTCTTGCCGGAACTATGCATTCTTGTCTGGAAAGTTGAGTCCATCCAATGACGTCACATTTTTGCTAAGATTTGTCTGCTGGCCTCACCAACCGATTTCGATAAGTTTTTGCGAAGAACTCAGGTGGAGACTGAAAAAAGCCCACACAAATCGCCAATTTTTGCTGATTTAATGACATAAAAGAGGGGTTCATCCAAGGTAGTGTATATAAGACGGTTGAAAACTATCATATAACGTCAATTTAACCCTACATAGCCCATCCCCTTTAAAATACTGAGCGACAATGAAAACAAAGAGGAAACCAAGTCAGATGAAATCCAAAATAACAAAGAGACAGTAAAGTCAGACAAGTTCATAGGGACTGAAAAATATGATGAAAGCAACTTAGGAGACATTCAGATAGAAGTAAAGAGTAATTGTACTTTGTAAGAATCAGAAGAATGATGAAACTCTGGTGGGGATATGGGATAGAGCAATACCCAAGAAGGATATTGCCACAGGGAAAGTGTGCTACTTTGTGAGAGATGGGATTTTTGTATAGGCAGTGGACTCCTAAACAAGCTAACAACAAGTTTGAAACAAAGTTCTAGATCATAATACCGAAGCAGTATAGGGCAGAGATATTACAAGTACCCCACAACATACCGATGGTTAGGCATCTAGGAATAGACATAACTCAGTAACGTACCTGTATACTGCAAAAGTTCTTTTGGGAAAATGTTTTAGCAGATGTAGCAGAGTACTGCAAGTCTTGTGACAGATGTCAGAAAGCAGAAAAACGTAGCATTCACTTCCTATCATAGATACTCCATTCATGCACATTGGAATTGACACCTTAGGGCAAGTACATGTAGTTTTGTCAAAGCAGGGAAACCGTTATGTTTTGGTAGTACCGGTATGTGACTATGCAACTACAGTGTAGATACCCAGAGGTCATACCAATCCCAATTCAAGAAGCAAAGACTATCGCTGATGCATTAATCTAGTTGTTCATCAAGTGTGGGAATACCAGAAGAAACAATATCTGACCAGAGGATAAATTTTACATATATATGTATGTCTCAACTTATGAAAGAAGTGTGTGATCTTTTTGGTACATGTACATGCATTAAGAGTGTGTCTACAAGAGGACCACGGAGAACATGATAAGGTGGGGGTCAACGGTTTTGGCTGAAATTCGACATGTATGGGGGTCACATGTAGCCTTGAGGTTGTGCAAAATTTTAGGTCAATCCGACTTCATCTTCAGGAAAAATGGCCCAATATATGCTTTTAGTAAAAAAAAAATAATTTTGATGATTAAGGCCTTCAAAAGTTTAAACGCTTGCCGTTTTACAAAGGAAAGCACAGGAGCATTGAAATTTGCAGGGTTTTGAGCTTGCATCCAGTCCTAAATCTGATGTCGAAATTGAGGGGGAAAAATGTATGAGGCAATGACAAGCCTTTACTTAGGGGTATCCCTAACTTTGTGTCATAATTAGAGCTATCTTTGCATCGCTATGGGGTCATTAGAGTAGGTCTTTGAACAATGAAACTCTGATGAAAGAAAGTCATTATCATGGTCTTTTGGAAGCATCAATAAAATGTTTGTCAGCAGTTTTCAGTATGGACTTACAGGAGCCTTGTTTGAGCCTCATATTGTGTATTTAGCCTTCTATCAGTCAATATTGGTACCAGTTTTGATATTGATTGCTCGTTTTTACAGGGCACCAACTTAAAAAAAATCGCTATATATAGAGAAATAGTGCATTTTCATATGACCAAGGTAATTTTCTGACCAAACTCTACCAATGACAGAACAAAATTACGACTCCGTTGGACAGATTTTCAGACCCTCTTTTCAGTCCAATTTCAAAATTTAATAAAATCTTAAGTGTACTGTAAACTTGATACAGTAAACTTGAGGTGAATGCATCATTGGTGGCCTTGTGCACATTGCAAGAAAGGTGGACTGCATCGAACCAGGACCGACTTGATCCAAAGTCTATTTTGGTACCCATGATTGATGGCGCAGCAAGCCCTGGCGCAGTGCCAGGATCCATGAGGGTTTGCAGTGTGTGTAGATCCATGATGTGTGGGCAATTTTTGTACAGTAGATCGTTCGGAAAATTTTTTTGTGTGGGTGTGTAGGAGTGTGTGTAGAACGAACAACTTTTGTTTTCCGAAACGTGTACCTTGGAGGGGAAGATGACCGTGGTTATGTTCTCTTAAGTCAAGTTTATGCAGCTCGTTTTGATCGTTTTTGTTTTCAATGTACGTTTAACCGTATGGTATTTTATTCCATGGTCGAGGAAAACGTCCCGGCGGAACATAAAATGTGATCTATGATCGAAGCCGTGGTTGTGTTGTGTGTGGTTTTAAGCCATCATCAGTGGGCCAGACTAACGACATTCTACACGGACAAAACATGTGAGTGTTTCAAGTTGGGTAATGGGAGTACTTTCACTGTTGCAGTCTTATTCTACTTTGTGCGCTCTTCGTGCGCCCATGGTGTAAGAACGAGCAAATGTCGAGCGAGATAGGGCAAGTACCAGTGCTCGTAACACGCATGACCTCCCTCGAAAGGGTACTTACTTGAGATCACTGCTGTACATACATGTGCACGTATCAGTGCAAGCTGTTGGGCACAAAATTGTCAGGTCATTGTAGTGTTGGTCAAAACATTGTACAGCTTCTTGCTGCAAAGCACGGGCCATTCTAGACTACGGCAGTTACTTGGAAAATGAAACAAATACACACAAATAACTCTAATTTAATTGATAAAATAATGCATAGGTGGTAATGTTCATTTCTTCATCGTACAGTCTCTGTTAATTTACTGTGCAAAAAAAAATCAATATTATGCAGACGGTATTGAAAGCATGTGAGTGTGCAGTTCCATTCAAAAAAGTACAGACATGAACATCAGGTGAAATCTTGACCCATTTTATGAGGCAAAGCAGAATGTAACGGAAAAACCAGATTTCAGCAGGTAGTTTGTATGTTCTGCATCAGTGCACACAAATGTAGTAAATGTATGTTTTCTATAACTGACAGAGTCCATGTCATTTGAAACTTTTGAAGAAAATACAAGATACAGACACTTCCTCATCCATAACACCCTAAAAAAAATTAAACCAAAACGGAAAAAAACACCTAAAAACAATAAAAACCAACAATCTAAAAAAGTGGACGAATTCATGTAGGCAAAATCTTGCCCAACTCAAAAAGACCATGCCTTGTATGGGAAACAAGTTGGGAATGATTATTCTGGGGATGATGTATCAAACACAAATCATTAAATGATACAAAACTCAATGTATACTGTTTCATAGCCCACACTGCTTCTGCACAGCATCCACAAGAAGCTGTCTTTCAACCGATTCCACAGCATTATCATTTACATCCGACAAGTCCTTGGCTGGCAGTGTCCCTGATTTGTGGAAGAGAGCAAGGCTTGAGAAATAACTGGCAATCTGTACGGCAGTTAGCCAGTCATCTTTCTGGAACTGACTTTTCAAACGTTTTGACACAGTCCCTAGGTTTTCTTTCTTTTCTGTATTTACACCAACCATGTGAAAACCTCTTTCTGACCTTGGACAATTTATGAGCCCAACCAGAATTGATTGCCTGAGACATCGAGGCCGAAGCTGCTTCTGAAGTTACAGTCACACCACCTTTGCCTGAATGAGGGGTACCAGCTTGCATCTCCCCTATCTTTTCAGCCTACTGACGTGTAATCTGCTCCAATCATGATTCCTTGAGGGGATGAAACATATGCTGTCCTGCTGCCAAATGATGCGGCAGTACCTCATCGGTGGGGAATGTTTTCACACAGTTTGATTCTGTGCAAGAGAACTGAACATTTACTCTTTGTTGGCCTATTGCTCCAGTCAAGACTTTGGGCTCTGTGTATTTTCCAACAGTGTAGTTGGTGACACGTGGTCCAAGTGGTTGCTTAATCAGTTTTGTAAATGGATGAAACTGGTCGCCAATATTGTAAGCAAGCCAGGAGCGCACACTACTTTGTTCAAAGCAGAAATTGGTATAGTTGGTAACACCAGGCCATTTCAGAGATTCACATGAGGAAGGTATGTCACCAATCTTCAGAACAGATGCATAGCATCCTCACACACCATTGTACGACTCTAAGGCAGTGTGCATGTCATTGGCAGTGAGAACACTTTTATTGATGTACCACTCGATATTTGCTTTCATTGGAGCTATTTTTCGATCGCAGATATCTTTACCTGTCTGTGCTTCAGAGAAGTCATATCTTGAAATGCTGATGTTTACGTCTTTGGAGAGATCTGTTATGGACAGGATAAGTGGTGCACAGTGGTAACACCCAGCATTATCTGACCTCAGATAGATTTTCTCAATGTTTAGATGTCTTGCTTTCAGCTCAAGCGATGGAGCTTCCAACACTAATAGTACCCTCCACCAATTCTGGATACACTGCTGAATGAGATGAACAAAGCACAAAATCTTTCCATTCAATTCAACTGCCAAATCATAAGTGACACAATACAATAAAGTCAGTGACAATTTTTCATGTATACATTTCCCTTTTCTTCATTCAGTTACGTAACTATGAGAGGTCAATTTCACAGGGGGCACGAGGTGGCATACATAATAAATACAGTGATTTATATTTTCAAGCTCTTACCTCCAATTCACTACTAGATTTCATTACGGCAACAGTCATATGCCAGGATATGCCTTTCTTGCCAAACCAGTCTTGTTGAGCTTCCCTAAATCGCCTGGGCAGATATTTCATAGCCTAATCCATGGTCAGAAGTGCTTGTGATGAAGTGAGATTTGTCAGGATATCCTCTTTGCATTTTTCCTGAGCCACTGTACGAACAATATGATGTTTCAGACCAATGATGCGGTCCTTGGCATATTCAAAATCCTACGCTACTTCCTCCTTCTGTGATGGACACCTGGAATTAAATAAAGATCCACAAATAAAAATAGATGTCATGAATGTACACCAAGAATTCATTCTTGAGAGAATTGATGTGTTAGAAGTTCCATAGGCCCCTATAAAACTTACTAGTATTTTGTATCAACACTTGATATGGAGAACTCAACCTCATTCAGCAGAAGACGTAGGTCATCACTTCAAAGTGGACATTATCGGGATGGCTGCAAGAATCTTTAGTGCTCAGTGTATAAGTCCAACAGTGATCAGGACAACAATGGTCTTCCTGAACATGGAGTTTGAAGTCAGATTTCAGGTAATGACAGGCTGTTCAAAGCCTGTTTTTGTGCTCATCTACCCACGAAGCTGGTAAACTGTAATAATAAAAGCAAAGTAAGCCATTATTTTGGCTTACACTAGACTATGTTTGAATGGTTTTTGCTTGCTTCAAAGGAGACTTTTAGACTACTGGTAAAATGCAGCTGCTGAACGAGTACAGTAGAAAACTCACCACATTCACCAAGCAATATTATCAATCCCTCCATAGCTTGAAACCCTTCTGAGCCTTTGGCAGCTATATTGTCCACACCAGAAAGAGATTTCTTCTTGGAAGCAGCACAAACCTGAAAAAGAGTCACTGGACCTTGACATTTTTCGAACCATTGACCAGAACATTGCAATGCATAATCGATCCATAGATAATAAGAAACAACATAAATTACATAAAAAATGAAAATGCCATGACTGAAATTTATATAAATCTCACCTGAATAATACTGCAAAGTTAAGTAAGACCAAGTGGATTGAATCCAGTGTCTTGACAGTGAACTTTGTACAAATCAACAAGATGGGATACCACAACGGTTCGAACACTTTGAACTTCAATCTTTTCTCCGTGACTAAGTTTCAGTTTGCGGGTCCCAAATGCAACATCTTGAACAAATTCTGGGTGTGAGATGAATTGAATGAAGTGATCAATCTTGCTTTTCTCAAGTCTTGATCGAGTTATTGGTTCCAATTGTACTGGTTACCCTCCTCAAGTTTCCTTGGCATGCTTTCTTGCCGCATCTATCCTGTATATAGTGAGGCCTGGAATCAGTTGCTGTAACAACAGAACAATAACAATCATTTCAATCAATCTAATATGCTGATGGTTTATGCTGAGGAACATAGATATCAAACTACATGTATCTGTTAAGTATTTCAGTGTTGTCTTTGACCGAAGCATCTAACAGTTCAAGAGAAACATTTACTTAATCTTACCATTAGTCTTTGTTTTGTCATGTTTTGAACCAATATTGACAAAATCTGTCGCTTGGTACACCAGTTGTCTGCAGCTTGATAGCACTCCACCAGAGAATGAGTACTGCTGTCAACATCTGGATCACTCTGTGATGATTCTGCAGTTGTTTCACCGATGGCTATCTTCAGAAGCCGATCTTCTTGGCCTTCTTCGCTTTTCTTTTGTAGTAGCGGACGGTGCTATCAGATGCTTCTTCTAGTGGCCAGTGCAGCTGTCCATCAACAGGAAGGCTTTCCACCCTGGATAAGGAAGGTGTTTAAGGACTGGAGCTCTGCATTCTTTTGCCGTGATGTTGGAGTCCAAGCCGAATCCAGGGCACCGAAACCCGAGTAACATCTTCATCAGTTGATGAAGACCCAGATGCAAGCTGGAAAAAATGGAAAATAAATAAATCCTGTGAGATAATGCAGCACACAGCAGGATATGATATAATCAGGGTGGGCAAAGGACTACTCACTCCCCCCCCCAACTCAGAGCAGTACTGCTGGGTCAAAATATGTGCCGCTGGGCTAGATAAATTTACTGCTGAGTAAAAGAAATTTATTTTGAAAAACTTTTGCCTTCATTTCTGCGAACCCCCTGCTAAATATCAAAAGTCTGCCCCTAATGTCTCATTATATTTACATGTACTGAGCAGTGGATTCCATGCCAGTTTCAAAACCCAGTCCGCTACTGTAAAACCGTTCCCCTTGCAGACAAGTGATATTTAAAAAAAAATGACAAAATGGATTGCCCTACAATATGATATAAGATATAAAATATGATACAATAAAATAAGATGCAAGATGCCAGGATTTAGTTGATTTTAGTTACCTCGGGAATTGGAGTGCACTTTGTGTAAGTGGATTGGAAACTTGTTGGAAGTAACCCAGCTGATGATGACCAATCACTGGTTGCACTCTGCTGCTCTTCCTATCCCTATTATAACACAAATTCAACAAGTAAGGTTTTTTGACAATGATATACCAATACGTGTATATGTTCAGACAGGGTATACTGCTATTTTATTGAGTTGAAAGCACACACCATAGACAGTGTATCACTGGGTGGTGGTATCTGTTCCGCTGCCTGGCCAGAAACTGCTTGTTGGTGCATGGTTAGGCAACCTCTACAGATACCTGAAAGTCAAAGACAATAAGAAGTAAATGTGAACCAGGTTCTTGACCAGTGTCAGACTATAACATATAACGACAAGATGCAGAATCAGACAACCATTTTTTCATTCAATACAACATTTTTTATCTTGCTTCCCCAAATCAAATATTGCATTTGGTTATAATAAGTAACATCCAACGTCCATGATGATATAGTCGCCAGGTTCCTCATTCGCCAATTAGGCCTACTATGGAAACCTATCAGATTTGAAAATATGTGGTGAATGAGGGACCCAGCAAGTATCGGGCAATAAATGCAAGTGTCTTATTATGCATCTTTCCCGATCAGGAAAGAGTCCATACAAACATGACAAAGACATTATTTGAAGCCCTGTGCACATACATGTAGCCATGGCACTGGTCTGGAGACAGTGTTTTCTAAGTGAATGCTTCAATGTTTTCCTGGCTAAATTTGACTTTTAGGACATGCTGAAACTTTGTGATGGCTAGTAAACTGCAAGGAAAAATTAGTGATGTCTGAATATGGAACTGTTACCCCTGATCAGTTAAGCACTTACAAATACTATAGTCCAGGAAAACATTTCTTCAGTTTTACCTTATAGGCATGCGTCATAATGCAGGCCTATGAACAATGAATACTAGAATAGAACGATTCAATCTATTATCTTACTGACTTACATGTACCTGCTCCAACTGGGAACAACGTGCCCCATCTTTCAAACACCTCTTGACTGGTTGTTTTGTTTACGCCATGAAAGGGTCTGCCTTTCCCTTTATGGAGTGGATGAGAACATTTCCTTGATGATGTCCAACTACCCCACACTCTATAGCTCTACAGTGCTCAAATTTACTAAAATCACACTGCAGCTGCACAGACGGCCACCATAGCGATGGCGATACTATGTGACAACGCCCTCTGTTGGTACCAGGTGAAACCTGAGTGGGGGGCAACCTGACGATACTCTCCTCCACCAGAGGTTTCCCCACCTATCCTATTTATGTGAAGTCTGCAAAAAGTAGATTTTTGCTAGGTTATAACAGCCTAATCAGAAATGTGAATTAAAGGAAAGCAATTGCACTCAGAACTGTTTTACTCAAAATGATGATGTTTTCACAATTTTTTTTACCATAACCAAACAAAGTGGGAAGAGCTGACAAATATTTTATTTTTTATTATTCTAGATATACATGTACATGCATATCTAAACCATTTTTTAAGCAAGCTTGGTGACTGCACTAATTAAGTTATGGTCTGACACGTAACTGACTCTTTTTCTCAAAAGAGCTGATACATGTTTTTCTTATGCCACGATATGTGCATTGAATGATTGCACATCAACATTTTTTATTTCATTGTGTAGAGGAGAAAGAGCTCTTTCATTTGATATTTAAATTAATGATAAATGATGAAAATTAAGGGCACAAACGTGGCCCATACCACCATTACACTACTGGTCCAGTTGAAAGATTTAATGAGAACTTGTGGCACACGCTACCTGCTTATACAAAAACAAACCTGAGCAATGGGACAAATATATACCATATCTGTTTTTTGCATACAGAGAGGTTCTCCAACAATCAACTGGATTTTCACCATTTGAGTTGTTGTACGGATGCGTTACTCAGAAATGAGGATTGGGGTAGGCAGCTAGTTTCACTGTACAAATTTTTAACATGGTGTATCAAGGATATTAAGAAAAACGACAGTCAACAGGGATGATGACGAAAAGTAAAAGAAAATAACCAGTAAATTACATGAATTTTTTTTTTCTTACAGGTTTAAAATTAATTGTTGTGGGGCAGCGATTCCCTTACAGTAATGTGTACCACATTACCTATTACAACAGTACCACTTTTACCACAGTATCACATATCATTACAAGTATAAAACACATCATGTACAAAATAATTATTTTACCATTGATAATTCACTTTGGTTGGAAATCTGCTGGTGTATCTGCCTGCTACATGTACTTTTTGAGTTAACCACTTCGGACTGGGGCATTTTTCAACGTTGAGGATGCTGGGCCGGCATGACTATCATTTTTTCCGGTTTCAAAATCCTTCAACAATTCATCATTCCATTTAACAGTCGTTTATAGCCGCACGGAGTAATCTT